AAAAAAGCGTAGTGACAGGAACTTCCAACAAATTTTGTTTCCTCCGGATCGATTTGCCAGCTTTCGAATAACAGTTTATCAGACGTACCTACACGCAATCTTTACAAGACCTTGGAGTTATTTGGAGAATCCTTGGGGAGTCTTGGTTGACACAAACAGCTTATAATTTTTTTTTTTGTTACCCTTGATTTGCAAGTTCGCCCAGAAGTAGAATGAAGCAAAGCTCTTGGAGTTAGTAAGAGTAATCTACCGAGTAATGTACTTCAGTTTTTCACCCTTCGGCAGTATTTCTTACTTATGTTTTAACACAGCCTTTATGAAGCTTTAGGTTTCTACCAGTTTCTTTGGTCCAATCACGGTTTGTTTGCCTCAGTACTAAGTTTGGTTTGTTTCGGCGAAATCAAACTTCAGCTTCCTTGAACTCGCCAGTTGTTTCAAAATTATGGATCATTTTTGGTCTACAATCAACTGATCAACCTTTGATGAGTCAAATATCGTTATTGACTGGATCAAAAAAAAACAAAAAACAAAACAAAACCAAAAAAAAAAAACAACAAACAACAACAACAAAAAAACAGTACTCCACCCCCACCCATCTTGGCCTCACCCCAAACAGTTGAAATTTTCAAGGTGTTAGAATTAGTGTGGTTTACATGAAGTAGCTATCGTTCATGGCGGTAAACACACACGTACATATAGGCAATATCAAGTTGGACAAGATCGAGAATGCCACCGAAAAAGAGCAAAGAAACTCAGGTACGGAGTTGGTATACAATGCAATACACGAATCATTAGCTTTTACAGTTGATCTGCGTATTGATCGAGCTTCAGATCTGAACTGGCAAATGGAAAGTGTACATGTAACATTGAACGAGACGTGGGATCGATGTCAAATCCGCTGATTCGCTTGATTATGAAGTTCCCGGGATCGTATAGGTTTCCCTGCAGTTCGTCGTTTTTCAAGGCTAAAATATAGCTCGTTTTGAAAGCATTCGGCCGCGTTTATCATCACCGCTTTCCATCATCAGTCTTAACTCGTGCTACGAGGCCGCAAATCTGTGGCATAACTGAGGCTGAAATATATCGCTCATGACTACAGGCACTTAAATATCTTTAGATAGACTAGTTAGTGATTTGGTGTGGTGACCTGTCTGTTTCTTCACTGTTGTATGGGTAAAAAAGTTCGTTGTATGATACACACATGACGCCAACATACATTTATTCAGTGAGGGCAAGAAAGTGCCTCATCTAGTTGAGGGGATGTCTAATATTTTGTTCATCACAGCAATTTCTGCAGATCATTTATTTATTTTACATTTAATGGCAGGGTCAAAAGAAATTCAATACATTTCAGCATATAATTAAGCTTATTGAAGTTAAAAAGCTCGAATATACAAACAGAAGTAATAAATTAAAAAAAAAGGAAAAAGAAAAAAAAAAGTTACCATGCTTAAGAGAATAATTGTCTCCTTGTGAATCCTGGCTAGGATTTTTCAAGTGGTGGATATAGATGTACAGTAGATGTAGAGCTAATGATAAAAACATTTAAATTAATGAAGGTGTGATAGACAGTAATGGAAAAAACAAACAAAAAAAAAAAACAAAAAACAAAAAAACTAGTAATAAAATTAGGTATTGGAGGTCCACAAAAGAGCGTAGGACTCCTCACTGCACTAAAGAAAACTGCACTAAAGAAAAATCATGAGTTACTAACTTCACTCATACACAAATTGCTCTTACAGTGCGGGACATCACGACGAAGGTACTAAGTCAGTTGCTGAAGGCAGAACAAAATTTGCTCATCATCTTGGTAACTTTTCCAATATTTGGCAATGTCCGCCAGACCTTTTCAATTGGCGTATTAATGCGTAATTGATTATAACACACATTCTTTGAATTCATCAATAGCTCCAGTGTACTTATATTAGTAATTTTTATCAAAACCAGGCATTCAATTATTTTTTAGGTTTCAATCAATGAAAATGCATCTTAAACTTCAAACAGATGTATTACAAAATAAGTGTAGACCCAAGCTTACTGTTTTTGTATCATTCAATAATAACAAAACATATTTTAAGATTAAATGACAAAATGATAAAATTTCATACATATATTTGACTGTTAGAATGACAAATACATTTAAGTATTTTTTTTTTTTGGTGCCACAAACCCAGGCACTCCAACAACTGTTATTAAGACTTACCTCTGACATGCACTCCAACCACAAATAACAATGGACAATGCAGCGTAAATTTGTGGAGGCATTGCACCATGCTAAACTGCTGTGTCATTTGCAGGGCATTTAGAAAATGCTGAGCCCTGAGATTTGCTTGATTTCTTCATGTAACCATCCCTTTTGGTTTCACTCCTGTCCCTGCCTGGTGGACACACAATGGTCTATTGGTCAGTGTGCTGAACTCTAGATTGTGTGGTCCAGCTTCAGGGCGTGCCTGGGGTTGTTATGTTGTGTTCTTAGGGCAAGATATTTTTACAATCATTGTGTCTCTCCACCCAAGTGTGTAAATGGGTATCAGAGAATTTAATGCTGGGAGGGAGGGTGGGGGGTGACCCTATGATGGACTAGCATCCAATCCAGGGAAGACTAGAAATACTCCAAGTTTCTTACTGCTACAGAAGTTGGAAGAGACTTTACCTGTCTCTGGTTGTCTGTAAGTAGTTTCATTACTGTGTAGATACTGTAGCAGGTTCAGCCAGAGATTTGATAACTGCTTATCTGAGCTATAAGCAACTATATAGGTATATGTACCTTGTCCTGAGGTGCTGTCAAATGCTTACAGCTTAAATCTCTCAGACAGTTGAGCACTTTTCTAAAAGTAATGATCACTCCCCAAAATAGAGCCACCCTCAAAAAGTAAGTAAGGTAAGGTTTGTATACGAGCCAAGTGGCCCATCAGGCTGGTGCTTATCGCAGTTCAGCATAAAATGACTACGAGTGTTTCTACTTCCCTCCGGATGGGATCCTAGTCCA